CTACAATATTGATAGTCGCTGGTAAGTTGCAGTGGCTGCAATAAGTATTGAGATTCGAGTGAAGGAATAAAATCTAAGTGAAGGCAACACATGTTTTCCCTTCTAGAGACATAATTTTTAAATTAATTGAAGCAGTCATATTTATATTTTATTAGTTAAAAAACATAATTACTTTCTGAGTAGCATTTTGATGAAGTTAAAAATAGTAAGAAAATTTTCATTGATCATGCTGCACCTGGCACAGGCGGAGATACATGTACTAAGATATGGGGTCAGGTGACACAAAATACACCAACATATCCAGAAAAAGCCCATATTCCTCCCAATCTGAGACGCTCAACTGGAAAAAGAGTGGCTTACAACTGATGACCAAAAGAAAAATAATCACAATCCACGAAGAATCGTGGATCGCATGGAGAGGCTATGAAGGATGTAACCCGGGATGAAAAACAAGGGAAATGAAAACGAAGATCCAAAGAAGCATACGAGGCTAACATCAGGATAGACAGAGCTGGGACAGACTCCTCTTTCCAATAACGCCATATGGGTGTAGACCTTAACAAGTTCTTCTACATGTACATGTACATCTTGAGCGTTAATTAACATGAGGCAAAACGGTCGAAATAACCCCCAAAGAAGAAAGAATCACAAAAACAAATAGTTTATGAAAAAGGAGCTACCAATCAGGCCAACCCTGGAACCCCATCACAGATAAAGTATCGGGTATTATTTAGAAAGCCCATTCTGGATCGACTAGATTGAGAGCAAGAGCCTACCATAGGGAAAAGCTTGACTGTGGACCCATAAAAGGGTGGGTGAAACAAACAACGCATGAAGAAAATAGACCACACCATAATAGAGAAAAAGCACGTGCCATGAAATGACATGAACAAGTGGAGGCCAGTGTATCCCGCACTTTGATCACATAACAGAAATGTTTTCTTTTGTTTGTAGGTTAACAAATCTAACTAAAAAGAGAAGAACAAATAAATAGCCTCTGATATAAAAACAATCAGTACCAAACAACAAAACCTCATATGCAGAGCTTCAAGTGTTCCTACAGTTCCTATATTTTTTAGACTTTCCTATATTTCCCTATATAGTTTTAAAATGCCTTATAATCACTATGATATTTTTAACTGAATTAATAGTTTGTGTGTGTGTTTTAATGGGGTTGAAAAGTCAACACGCCTTCTACTCACATGTTTTTAGCCTTTCTTATAGCTCCTTAATTTCCCTCAGCAGAGGTTGTCTCTATAGGGTGCCAGTTTTGCATAAGAACTTTCTTAAGGCCAGGAACTGATTGTTGACATTGTGTGACAAAAGGCAGGACATTTTTCTCTTGACTTTTGTCGGAGGGGCTTAGTTATGACCATACACACTTTAATTGTTCCGTGAACATTCCCAAAATGCTAAAGTGAAATATGACATGTAAATAAAATAACCCAGCAATGGCAAGGAGCGCCAAAATCCTAGTATGAAAGGCTGCAAACGCATGAAAAACAAACATCCTAAGCAATTTAATTCATAGGGTGCCAAGCGAAAGATGCAAAGTTAAGAAAACAAACTCAAAGGGTGACAAACAACATAGTTAAAAAAACAACATAGTGAAACAACATAGCAAACTCAGAGATTAAAAGGTTAGTGCAAAGTGTAAAGAACACCCAACCATCAGTATACATGTAGGTGAGACGTAGGTGTAATCATAGCTAACCAGGTTGGCTCACCTCCATATGAAGAGGTCCTAATTAGCAGATCTGCTTTTTTTTATTGTCTTCACACAGTGCCACCCAGCGTAATTAAAGACGTTTCCCCATCTTCAGTGATATGTGAAAAACAAACCCCGTGTTCTCTGTCTTGTCATGCAATCAGTGATACTCCATTTAATTACTCTTGGACAAAGAATGGTCAGGTTCTAGTTAGTGATGACGTCAAGGTTATGAACAACAGGATTGTTGTCACGCCTCATGGTGCAAAGGATTATGGGTGTGTATGTGTGTCATGCTACAAATACCTTTGGTTCCACAGCTTACAATATCACCCTATCAGAGTGTCACAAGTCTTCAACTCTCTCAGATACAATAAATGGAGATGACAGTGAGTGTTGTGAATATTATAAGCTTATTGACTGAATATGAGGGCCAGACAGGAAAATATTAGTCTCAAGGTCATGGTGTAGGGGCCAAACGCAGCAAGCTCTAAGCAACATAACTGAGAGCCAAATATTTTCCTTTCCGGTCCGACCTAATTCAGTCAATAAGCATTTTATCATATCACCATTATTGAGCTTTGTTTTGTTGGTAAATTGTGAAGATGTTTTGGTGAATGTTCTGAATTGCACGCTGACAGGTGCGGGGCCAGGCGGCTTTTTCCAGATCGGCCCATGTCTACCCATCTGGCCCTACACAATAAGCTCGTATTATTTGCATACAGGTGATAAATAAAGGCTCAGGCTGTTTTCCAATAACCACCATACCAGCACAACCCAGTAAGGATATCATCAACATAGGCATAAGAAAAAAAAACCCAAGAAGAAACAAGTTTGAAAAATAAAAGAACAAAAAACT